TTTCTGATAATGGGACAAGAGTGGGCAAAAATTTTATTGTTGATTTTGGTAGCACTAGTACCCCTCTACATAATTAAGATTTACCCATCTTGCCCATACCCGTACCATCGGCTATATTTAATTTCAAAGATAGGGTACTTTCAAGGTGATGGGCGACACCTATCAGTGGTTTCCATACTATGTCTCAGAGACATAGAGCAACATAAATTGGTCATGATGCTTGAATAGTCGAAGACATATACTATCATCACCTACCATCAGTATATCACGCAGTCCCTATTTTGGCCTGGAAAAATGACTCTAAATATGCCTAAATTTTGACTCAAAATCGGTGAAAATAGGCTGAAAATCGTTATAGGGCCATGTCTCCCGAATGGTTAATTTTTGAGATCGGCCCTTTTGGTCAACGAGTAGTCTAGTCGGACTGATTAATTCCTGTGAATATGGATCCGAAGTGCCGACCCCCCACCTTATCACTTTTGCAGGATTTTGCATGGTTTTCTCGTGGAGTGACACTTAAATATTTATCCTTTCTTTTAAAGGCCAATTAAAAAAAGTAACACTAGTTTACCAAATTGGGTGCTTGTCCCCCCCCCCCCCCCAACTACCTCTATCTATTCATAACAAATGAAATGAAATGGGGTTTAATGTCCTACTGTTTTGCTCTGAACTGGGCTAATGAAGACAGGCATACGCTATGAGGGAAATTTTGCCTGGACAGCGGCACTACGGCCTACTCTTATATCGAATTCCAACTGTCAAGGGATCTTTTACATGCATGCCAATGTGTACAGGGGACCTCGGTTTTCCGTCTCATCCGAGTGACTAGACAGCTGTCCTTGTCAGGCCCTCCGACCTCCATCACTGACTAGGGGGAACCACGCAAGAAAATCTGGCTGAACTTTCCTGGCCAATGCAGGCATCGAACACCCGACCTCCAGGCTAGCGAGCCAGCGTCTTACCCACTTAGCCACTGTGACCCCTATAGACAAGCCTTTCCCACTAACATGTTGTCATATCGTTTTATCAAACAAACCTAATATATTCAGCTGTTTTGATTGACCACCTGACTTAACTGGTGCACGCCAAGGTGTACACGGGATCTCGGTTTTCCGTACCATCCGAACGACTAGACAGCTTGTCAGCCCCTCCGTCCTGCATCACTGACAAGGGTGAACCACGCCAGAAAATCTGGATGAACTTTCTCGGCCAAGTCAGGGATCAATCACCCGACCTCCAGGCTAGCAAGCCAGCGCCTTACCCATATGATCCCCCTAGCATAACAACTTAGTGTCAGGAAATAGCCATTTTTAATTTATTTAAAGTTTATCAGATTTCTTCCTCTTATAATATTTAAGTGAAATAAACCAATAAGAAAATTTTATGATGTGTACAGTAGTGTATGGCGTTGCTGGAGGCGGAAAATACAGAACAAATAGACCCCCCACCCCCCCTCGATTCGAGTCTGTCACTGAATCACTCTTTGAAGTTGCCATGCACAAACTCGCTAAGTTTGTCAGTCTGGATTGTCCGTGTGAATGTGTTTTTTTACACAGAAAAGGGGCAAATAAACCATAATATTTGAGATGACATTATAAAATATTAGTAATATTTAAAAGAAATTCTAATATTTTAAATAATTCTTACCAAGCGTAGTTGCCGAAATGTAGTCATGGCATGTGAAATTCTCCCGAACACACCAGGCTATATTTATTTGGTTTCCAGTGAATTCTACGAATGGCAACTATCCATTTTCTTCTCAAATTTGCCTCCTTTGGGAATGCATGTCCTCCCCTATTCGAACATTTTGGTACACAGCACAAAGTTGACGGCATTGTTGTAAAACCAAACGAAATAAAATAGCTCGAGGCGAAGGTCAACATATGTAAACAATGGAACTTTGCAGCAGACGAGAGGTCACGTGGAGCCGTGAAGCCAGCTAGCGGCACCTGGTGGGAATTCCATTAGCGAGGACGCCCATTGGGGACGCCGGACTGACGGGGGTGACGACAATATACAACAACATTTCGATGAGGGTGAATAAAAAGTGGAAGTGGCATCACCCAAAGGCAGAGAAAGAAATGGGGTTTAATGTCCACTCGACACAAACTAGGTCATTGCAAGACTAACATGTGGCTTAATTTTATTGCAATAATTTACTTGTAAGTGGGATCTTTAGCAGTGGGAGGAAACCAGAGGGCCCGGAGAAAGCCCATGAAGTTTGACACGGGACCCCACTCCTTGACATGTACAACAAGGGAATCAAAACCTCGCCAGTTGACTCAATGACAGACCTTATGATACAACTCGAACGTGCTGACCATTCGGCCATCCTATCTCCCTCCATCCAAAGGGGGGATCATACACCAAAATCAACTGTTGCCACCCTTAAGCTAAACAGAAAACATAATGATTCATTCAGAATTGCAGCCTGTATACGATAAACACAGAAATTGAGTGTGGCTCGGCCGCCTCGGCTTTGGGACATGCCTTTACGGTTGGGCATTCACCAAAATAGGCATAAAAGTTAGGCTAAGGCATAGGTATGCAAAGTTTCAAGAGGATTGTGGTCTGTGGGTGATACACAGACGCACAAAAAAATTGGGCGTGCCCGTCCCTCGGGGTCGGGCATGCACCAACCAGTGGCTGCCAGGCCGGATACACCCACATTTTGCAAAAGATAGATAGATAACAAGCTAAAAACAAACACAATTTTTGTACAATCAGGGGCAATAATCCAGAAATGCGCAAATATTAAAAGAGACTGAGATCTTTGGGATATAAAGATATGTTTGAAGTTTCATCAGAATCGGATAAAAATTGTGACCTCTAGAGGGTCCACAACCTTTGTATTGCATACTTTACACAATTTGCGTATAAAGAGCGGCCATTCTGTTGGGCAGTTTTATTTCGATTTTCCCAAAGTTTGAATTCAACCTTCATTATGGCGGAATGGTGAAATATTTAAACGTTTTTTAAAATCGGAAAAAAAAAATTGTGACCTCTATAGGGTCCGATAGCGAAAATTGCGATTTTTCGAACAATCAGGAGCCATAATACAGTGTACACGATTATCAAAAGGTACCAAGATCTTAGTGCACTGTAACATTGGTACTGTTTAATCTAGCGTAAATAGCGTTAATTTCTACCCTGTGTCCAATTATTCATAAATATTGTTGAATTTCGGAGAATACTGCTCAATTTGTACTTATATCGAATTTCAACATCACTGTTTAATTTTGATTACCAAGCGTCTAATTAACTAGTGCTAAGTTTCCCGACATGTGTTGAATTATAAGCGTCCCGTCTAATGAGCATGACTGTTCAATAATTAGTTGAATTATTGGCATGTATCGGATGGAAACTTCATGGATTATGGCTTTGTTTGTACGAAAAATCATGTTTTTAGCTTCTGGACCCTATAGAGGTTTTGTTGAAACTTGAAATGTAAGTTTATACCCCAAAGATCTCAGTTCCTTTCGATATTCGTACATCATTTTTCGTACAAACAGGGGTCATAATCCATGATGTTTCCATCCGATACATGCCAATATCTAAAGCAGCCAAGATCTTTGGGAGATAAACTTATATTTCAAGTTTTGTCCAAATCAGATAAGAATTGTAAGCTGTAGAGTGTCCACAAACAAATTGTTTACGGACGTCCGAACGGACAGGGGTGACAACAATATACGTCCACATGAAAAAGTGGGCGTATAAAAAACGTTTTAGTATATCACCGTTACACCCTAAGGATGCTTGAGTTCGAATTTCGTGAAAATCGGCCCAAAACTGACAGACAAAATGTCTGACCTTCGTTCTCAAATAAAAACGTGATTTTGCGTACAATCAGTTGCCATAATTCAGGAAGTTACTATCCGATATGCGCGAATACCGAAAGGAACCAAGATCTTTGGGTTATAAAATTACATTTCAAGTTTCAACAAAATCGGATAAAAATTGTGACCTCTATAGGGTCCACAACCTTGATATACCATATTCTTACGCTATTTGAGAACGAACGGCGGCCATTTTGTCTGTGGGCCAATTTTCACAATATTCGAACTCAGCCGTCCTAACGGTGACATAATAATACATTTTTTTAAATCGGATAAAAATTATGACCTCTATAGGATCCACAAGCTAAAAATGTGATTTTCGTACAATCAGGGGCCATAATTCAAGAAGTTACGGTCCGATATGCGGGAATATCGAAAGGAACCAAGATCTTTGGGTTATAAACTTACAGTTCAAGTTTCAACAAAATCAGATAACAATTGTGACCTCTATAGGGTCCACAAGCTAAAAACATGACTTTTTCGTACAAACAGGGGCCATAATCCATGAAGTTTCGATCCGTTACATGCCAATATCAAAAGCAGCTGAGATCTTTTGGAGATAAACCTATATTACAAGTTTCGTCAAAATCGGATAAGAATTGTGACCTGTAGAGTGTCCACAAACAAATTAAGGATGGACGGATAGGGCCGACGACAATATACGTCCACATGAAAATGTGGGCGTATAAAAATACAGTATGACATCTATAGGGTCCACAAGATAAAACGTGATTTATCGTACAATCACGGGCCATAATTCAGGAAGTTACGATCAGATATGCGCGAATATCGAAAGGAACCGAGATCTTTGTGTTATAAACTTACATTTCAAGTTTCAACAAAATCGGATAAAAATTGTGAGCTAAAAATGTGATTTTTTGTACAATCAGGGGCCATAATCCATGAAGTTTCGGTCCAATACATGCCAATATCTGAAACAATCGAGATCTTAGGTTGATAAACCTATATTTCAAGTTTCACTGAAATCGGATAAGAATTGTGACCTGTAGAGTGTCAACAAATAATTGTGGACAGACAGACGGACAGGGGCGACGACAATATACGTCCACATGAAAATGTGTGCATATAAAAATAATAGAGGTCATCCTTAGGAAATATGAAAAGTTTTCAAAACGATCCATAACAGAACTCAATATCTCTTACCTTTACGACCAGCACATTCTATATCAAAACTGAGAATACGGAACGGTGCTACTACTGACCAATCACCTTCTGCTGGATGTGATATAAAATCTTCCCATGATACATCTAGTTCTATCTGAGATCGTGATGTTAATGGCAGTTTATCTTTACTACCTCCATTCTCACGCAAACAATATTTCCCAGCAGGTAATTCAATCCAATTGCAGCCAACAACATGTGCATCCACCATAAATCTATCATTCATAAAATGGAATGTTTCATCTAAATTTACTATTCAGTAATGCAGTAACCAATTAAATAATGTTTTATGGTTGCCTTTTAAGGGCGTTGAGTAGTCTTAGATATGCACCGATCTTAATAAATTTGGCATACTTGTTCCATTTGTAAAATAACCCAGAACACATATACAGTACAACAGTTTGTTTTGGAATAATGGAGATAAAAGCTAAAAGAAAAGCAGCAGTTGCCAGGCAAGATATACACCCACATTTTGCAAAGATGGATTGGCCATTTTGTCTGGTAATTTTGGGCCGATTTTCACGAAATTCGAACTCAATAGTCCTTAGTGTGTAACGGCGATATAACATGTTTTTTGAGAACATGTTTATGCTATTTGAGAACGAACGGCGGCCATTTTGTCTGTCAATTTTGGGCCGATTTTCACGGAATTCGAACTCAGTCGTCCTTAGGGTGTAACGGTGATATATACTGAGCGCCATGGAAAACGCATCACTTTTGTTCCCAAATATTTTATTACCAGGTGTTTTTTTATATATAATATTATGCAATACTATGAACTATTGTTTCACATAATGCTCCCAAACGCAAAAAAATATCGGCCCGTGTGCACAAAATAAATTGCACGAGATGCACATGAAAAACCCAATATTCATGTGCAGCATTGTGTGTGAGCCCTTTAAAAGCATGTTTTCAACTTAATGTGCAGTACATGAACTGTGAAACGTCAATCTGTCGTAATTTGTTGTTGGACGGGTGAAGGAATCAAGATGCCGAGACTTACTGAAAATCAACGGAATGAAGCCATGGAAATGTCCAGGGGTGGCATGTCTACACATGCTATTGCCAGACACTTCAATTGTCATCAGTCCACTATTGTAAGGTTGGTGGAACGTGTTCGAGTTACTGGATCAACACGTGACCGTCAACGTCCTGGTCCACAACGCGTTACAACCCAGGCTCATCTGGGTCACTCATATGTGTGACAGATTCCGTCCAGAGACTTGAACAGGTGCAGCAGTCGTCGGAAGACAAGGACCAGTAAGTGCCAACACCGTAAGACGTTGTCTAAGAGAAGTAGGACTCTGTGCACGACGACCTTATGTTGGAGCTATCCTCAGGGATCATCACTACCTGGCTGCTAACAACATCAATGTCTTGGACTGGCCAGCCATGTCTCCGGACATGGCACCGATAGAACACGTCTGGGATGATATTGGACGCCGTCTCTATCGGAGACCACAGATGCACACCATTGCTGCTTTAGAAGCTGCTCTTGTCCAAGAATGGAATAATTTGCCCCAGACCTTCTTTCAAACATTGGTAAATTCCATGCGACGTAGCTGTACAGCGTGCGTAAGAGCACGTGGAGGACACGCGCGCTACTGACATCTGTGTCGTACTTTTGGTTTTGACCCCTCTGACTTTGTACCGTTGATTACAGATTAAACATCCATAAGTGTACAAATGTGTTGTTATTGATGTGTTCCCATTTGAATATTGTTCACAATAAGAAGCAAAATAAATAAGATATGTTTACAGGATCATTTTGTTATACGAAAAACTAAGTGATGCGTTTTCCATGGTGCTCAGTATATTAATACTTTTTTTTAAATCAGATAAAAATTATGACTTCTATAGGGTCCACAAGCTAAAAACGTGATTTTTCATACAATCAGGGGCCAAAATTTAGGAAGTTACGGTACGATATGCGCGAATATCGAAAAGAACCAAGATCCTTGGGTCATAAACTTACATTTCAAGTTTCAACAAAATTGGATAAAAATTGTGACCTCTATACACTATAAGATTGGTATCGTTTAATATGGTTGTTTTAGCGCTTATTTTGATTATTCCACAGAAGTGATATCGCAGTCAAGCACACCTCCCAGGTAATGTATCTTCTTTAAGTCAAAAATGAATTAAGTTCCACCTGTAGACGTCACAAGCAGAGAAGTCAACCCCGCAAAGTAATGTTGCACGACAATAATCTTGTGAGACTTCTCACTGGCGCCAAAAAGTCGCTATCTGTAAGTCTCTATAGACAAGCTGACGCCCATTTTCAAACAGGTCACACAGGGCTAACCATGTAACACCATCGCACGCCAGATGCCGCCCATCGCAAGAACAACCATTGTTTCACATACCCTTTCAGTGCTATGAACATCAGATAATAATTTTGCTAAGCCCACTACGTTTCTACTACATTCCGTAATTTAACTGATTTATACTATATCCAATATAACGTTTTGATTAATTAAATGAGAGTAAACACTTTTACCTTGTAATTTTATACCAGTTTGCGATTTATGATGACAATCTTATACAAAGTATTTATATTCTATTGTAAATAATTTCCTCGTGAGATGAATTTATATAAGCCCTGGCTTGCTTTCAGATCCCACAATCATATAGTGTACTTTTATAATATGTAAATATTTATTGAATAAATAGTGTCAGAACAAAAAAAACATATTGCATTAACCCATAGGTACATTTATCACTATTACAATATATGTACATGTATGGTATTAAAAAAATAATGTGTGTCGGGGATTGGACAGCAGGGTTATATTTTTCTGTCAAGTTTGGTACTAACTCAAAATCAACATTCCCGAAACGGATTTATAAATCAAACAAAACAAATATTGCACGTGTGAAGTGATAAAACAATAGCATTTGAGCAATCAAAGCATTAATCCATACTGTAATAACGGAATGTGTATTCAAAAACATGGTTTCATATAGTACCCAGACAGGTGGCCACAGGTGGGAATTAATGAAACAATAGCATTCGACCAATGAAATAATTAATCTTTACTGTCACAGCGGACATCTATGACTTTGTGTTGTACGTGTATTTTCAAAATAACCATCAGATGACTAAAAAGTGAATCGCTCACAATGGCGTGTATACACAGAACCTTTCTGTAATTAATGTGTATGGGGATATAGATTCAGAGGTGATTAATGACTAATATGATAATCGTAGTTAAAAGACGAATCTCAATACCTTTTTTACTGTGCATATATATAAATATCTAATAATTATTTAATCCCTGTTTTAACTAATCACAATGTAAAATATTGCACCATATATACACAACATGTTATTGTCTGCGATATCGCCTCGGTGGAAGCGGGTGGTAAATAAAGCGATCTCAAACACTTAAATATATCCGATCCGTCGGTTCGCAAGAAGTGCAACGAAATTATCATGGCAGAACTTGTAATGTTTTTAGGCTCATGCAGGTGGGTCACAGAATTGCCCCGTGATATGATATCAAAGAACATTTGCACGTAGCCGATTTTTTGAGACGTGTTGTATTCAATTGTTAAGACTACGTGGCGTCTTAAATAAACCAACTTCTAACAGGTTCCATTGATTTATCATTTATTTTATGACAGTTTAGACCACAATGTGTTACGATTCGCATTTTGGTATTCTAAGCCGATTCTTATACGGAATTCGAGGTGCAATGATATAAATTCGGATTTGAGTGGACGAGTTAACACAAATATACATGTATGTGACCGTAAGTAGGGTGACCCACCATAAATAAATATCTCCAAATATCTCGACAATTACGCCACAATATTTATATATATGCCAAGCCTCAAATCAGTTTCACACAATTATAGTCACTAAATAAACGATCATGTTGTACTTAATAAGCTATGACCATTAATCATCTATAAATAATAGACTGAAAACTGGTTCCAAGTTACGTCCATAACACCCAGACACTTTTGAGTAAAATATAGGTTACGTGCCCTTGTTTTGAAATTAGTCTCGCTTAACCAGTCTATCGACCATTCTACGTCTGATTGACAGGTCGGGATAATCAAGACTACTTTTTTACGAAACATAACAGAAAGCTAGAACAAGAAATTGAATTTAGAAATAAGCACTTTAGACAACTCAACAATTGTTTTAAGAAACTTGTAAAAGTAAAATGAAACTACTGCTAGTATCATGTTCCTGCTAAAGAAAGTGATTCAGAGATAGTATTTGTACTAAAACCAAAAGATGCCGCTCTTAACGGTACAGTTAATGATAAAGCAATTTAAAAAATAAAACAAACGTAATTACTAAAGCTGCTGTAATAACCAAGAAGCTAAATTTTACTGCTATTCAAAATCGTCAACAATAGATTTTTTACGGCTGTAATAGTTGATATATTTGTAGAGAATTGCACGTGCCATGGCTATTTATCGACTCAAAGCGTGCACATTTAGCCGTGTCGAGACCAACTTTCTGTAAAGTGCACGGGTCATCCTACCGTAAGCTTATTCTCGGTCTTTTTCATTTTGATTTTAATATTTTATCAAGAAAAACATACATGTAACAACTTTTGGTCAGGTATCACAGCTTTATAACCATTTAATGATTTATTTCTGTATTAATTTTATACTAATTTGAGAAAACCATTGGTTGTTAAAGAATTATCATACTTTTCCCGGGAACTGATTTTTTTATCATTTACTATAATGTTTTTATTACATCATATATACAAGAATTTCCATAATTGTTACCGGTATATAAAGTTTCATACATCTCACTCAGTTAATCATTTTTTTTATTAATCCATAGCAATTAATTAAGTGTTTAACATTTTATTTAAAATCAGATTACGTATGTAAATACAACCAAACTCTCACTTAGCTAATTAAGGGGGTGGACAGTAGAAAATTTCAGTTTTTTTAATAATTGAGGTAAAGTCACCATTCTTACACATCTAAGAACACATCCATTGAATATTACAAAAACGGCCGAAAAATTTTCCTGGGGGTACCTGTTGCTATGGAAACGGCGGCCATCTTGGATTTCTGCGTATAATTTTAGTCATCCAGTTTCTCAGAAACTATTCAACAGAATGTTTTAAAATTAAGCAGAGAGGTTACTGACATGTTCCTTTGTGCAATAGGCAAGTTTCATTACAAAATAATAATTAGAAAGCAAGTTATACACATTTTAATGTTAACTTCAAAATTCTTTCACGTGTCACAGTTGCTATGGCAACAATATATCAGGAACTATTTTGCAGATTTCAATAAAATTCTCCTATTGCACAAAGTTATTATATAGGAAGTTATATTCCAAGTTTCAAGAAAATCTGTCGATAACTTTCAGAGATATAGCATGACTAAAATTGGTAACTCTAGAAAAAAACTGTTTTGAGAAATCAACAACTGAAGTTGAAGTATTTCAGTAGAACAACTTACGCCGATCTGTTCAATTCATTTATTTAATATTAAAAAACTGACTTTTAATATATATATTTTCTAATGTATTTCTTATCAATATACAGTATTTTCTTATTTTATTTCTTGTGTGTAAATTTACAACCGAACATTGGCATAGGAATAGATGTTATTCAAAACAACCATAACTATAACAATCACTGACAGCAGGCCTAGCTGGTAATGGTATTGCAACCATACCACTACTAGGTCTAGCAGACGAATATTCATCTTCATTTTGTTTATTATGAGTGTCTGTCATACTTATTTAGTCATCTAAACAATTTCAAACGCATTTTATTTGAAAATCTTCAAAAATATTGATAAACAGTGACGTACGGTTCAGCAATAGCAACCAGGATTGATTTGGGACATGAGCTTAGTGCGCATGCCTATTGACCTGACCTAGAGGATTGCCCGCTTCTGATTGGACACTTCACCATTGACCTATGTGACCGACCAATCAAATAACGTAATCTCGAAATAACCTCATTAGGTATGCAAAACTTGTTCTTGCTTGCTATTTTTATCTCAATACAGAAGAAAGGTTTCAAGACACCCCCAAAAAACGTCATTTCCTTTCAATAGGGGAAATCCCAAGCTTTCTAACAGTATCCAACATGGCGACAGTTTACCGGTCGGAAGCCAAGTATTTCACGTATGAAATGCCTATTGTTTTTAGATTTATATCAATAGTTTTAGCGGAATTAGGGCAAAATAAAAAAGGGTGGGATCATTCAGAACCAAATTTTGTAGAAATAAAGAAGAATTTTGTGAAAAAAATGACTGGTATGTGTTCCTAGATAGTGTTGCTCGCAGATAATCATAAAACCTCAAAAACGATTTTATTGTTAAAATTCACCAAATGAAGTGCGAACGACGGCCTTAAATGAAGCAATTCAAACAATGCGTAATTACTTGAGATTTTTTTATGTTTTTGTTTAAGAATTTTCATGCAATTGAGAATTATATTTACGCATGGTGTAATCGTTGTACTGCAGTCAAGTGTTTACGTAACATCAAGGCAGTATTCATTGAAGCATATTTCCTGTTGATACTGTTTGACCCGCATGAAAATGGGCGACAGCTTGTCTATAGAGATTTTGGCGCCAGTGAGAAGTCCCATGAGATTATCGTCGTTCAACATTACATTGCGGGGTTGACTTCGATCTCTTCCTGTGGCGTCTACAGGTGGAAGTTTATTCATTTGTGATTTAAACAACATACATTACCTGGGATGTGTGTGACTTGTCTACGATATCACCGATTTTTGATGTATTTGTCAATAGCGGAATTACTATTTTGAATGGGTAATGGATAATAATAATACGACCACGGTAAGGTGAGCATCTATGGGTGTGCATTTTTTTTATATTCACCTTTTTTATTCGTAATTCATACGTAAATAATCGTAATCAAAATAAACGATCGGATAAACGACTTGAGGGAAATTAAACGCTTCGTCTAATATTTAAACCCAGTAGATAAATTCATCGGATGTTAAATTTTTTACCTCTCGGAGAAATTCAACGGTGTACCATTAAATTAAACGATAGTACTAATTAAACGATTTTTGTAATTTTCAAGCGTTATTATCAATTATCAAACAATGTTTTGAAATTAAACTGTATGCATCGTTATTCGCGCTAAAACAACCATATTAAACGATACCAATCTTATAGTGATAGGGTCCACAACCTTGATATACCATACTTTTACGCTATTTGAGAATGAACAGCGGCTATTTTGTCTGTCAATTTTGGGCCGATTTTCACAAAATTCAAATTCAGTCGTCCTTAGGGTGTAACGGTGATATAACAATAAGGTTTTTTAAATCTATAGGGTCCACAAGCTAAAAACGCAATTTTTCGTACAATAAGGGGCCATAATTCAGGAAGTTACGGTCCGATATGCGCAAATATCAAAAGGAACCGAGATCTTTGGGTTATAAACTTACATTTCAAGTTTCAACAAAATCAGATAAAAATTGTGACCTCTATAGGGTCCACAAGCTAAAACGTGATTTTTCGTACAAACAGGGGTCATTATCCATGAGTTTCGATCCGATACATGCCAATATCGAAAGCAGCCAAGATCTTTTGGAGATAAACCTATATTTCAAGTTTCGTCAAAATCGGATAAGAATTGTGACCTGTAGAGTGTCCACAAACAATTGTGGACGGAGGGACGGACAGGGGCGACGACAATATACCAACCTTGATATACCATATTTTTACGCTATTTGAGAACGAATGGCAGCCATTTTGTCTGTCAGTTTTGGGCCGATTTTCACGAAATTCGAACTCAGCCATCCTTATGGTGTAACGGTGATATAATGATACTGTTATTTAAATCGGATAAAAATTATGACCTGTATAGGGTCCACTAGCTAAAAACACGATATTTCGTACAATCAGGGGCCATAATTCAGGAAGTTACGGTCCGATATGCGCAAATATCGAAAGGAACTGAGATCTTTGGGTTATAAACTTACATTTCAAATTTCAACAAAATCGGATAAAAATTGTGACCTCTATAGGGTCCACAAGCTAAAAACATGATTTTTCGTACAAACAGGGTCCATAATCCATGAAGTTTCGATCCGATACATGTCAATATCGAAAGCAGCCAAGATCTTTTGGAGATAAACCTATATTTCAAGTTTCGTCAAAATCGGATAAGAATTGTGACTTGTAGAGTGTCCACAAACAAATTGTGGACGTCCGAACGGACAGGGGCTACGACAATTATACGTCCACATGAAAATGTGGGCATATAAAAACGATCAAACGTAATCATCACAGAGCTGTGAACAGCTAAGCCTCATTGTCACCGGACTAGAACAAATCAAATTTGTATAATGCAACCAGGACACCAGTCTTCAACCATAGAGCGCTATCGACGATTGTAAGTTGTTTGAAAACATATTACATGGCTTGAGGCAGTTGCTCGGGTCTAAGTTAGAGGTTATTTATACAAAATTAAGCAGTTTCATTCTCCAAAATCTATCTGGGAATATCTCTTTAAACAATGTGTATACATCTAAAAGTCAATCGGATATTAACTTGTCTCCAGGGCATCCATAAGATATTTCAAAGTGACCAAAGGCCATAACTATGGCAGTAATTATCGAAAATCGTTGAAAATCAATTAAACTATACACAAAGTTTTATCACTCTCACTTAATTTGAACTAAAGTTATCATGTCTCAAAGCATCAACCAATCAAATTCCTTATCTCTGCTTACCCTAAGCAGAAAATGCTCATCTTCAAACTCCAGACAGACCCATTTTAATAGTACCCTGCTATCTTCCAAAGGCGGGGGACAACAAGAGTCATCCTTATAGCTGAAGTAGAGAGCGATAACACATAAACAGTCGATTTTCAACTCACAGATAATTCCACTGAAGTCAAATGAGTGGATATATGTTCGAGACAAACTATTCACAAAAAGACTGGACTATCGCAAGATAATATAATTCGAGAAACATCGAAGACGTCTGTGCATTCCAATGTTTTTCTTATTTATAATTATCGAATTTCTGACTGCTGTTCATTACCTAATTTCAAAGTCGATATTACTCTCATAGGCCTGAAAACCATTGGTACCAAATCCAGGACATTGAAAGCCTTGTTCTAATAACCGCTTAGCTGGTGCTATCAGGCGAGGTAATGCCATTGTGATCTTCAAAAATGGTAACTTTCTGTTTCCATGATAACCATAAATACCTGAAACAAGCCAACAGTGAGGCTGATGTCCACCGCCGAAATCCCCAAATAAATAGATGACACATATTAATTAATCTCACATCTATTTTTTTTCCAAAGTATCAAGCAATCAAACTGATTATCAACTACACACTAAGTTTCATCACTCTCTATCAGATAGAATCAAAGTTATCTTGTCCCAAAGCAGGAAACTGCTTATCTCTGCTTAGCTTTAGCTCGATATGTTAATCATCTACATCAAGTTTAAACATTCTACCTCAATTAGGAGAAGAGTTGTTATGTTCCAAAATCTTGACCAATCAAACTGCTTATTGCTTGTTAGCCTAAGCAGAAAATTCTCATCATCAAACTTAGTCAAGGTATTGATGTAATGAAACTATACACCAAGTTTCATCAATCTCACTTAATTAGAACCAAATTTATCGTGTTCCAAAGCATCAACCAGTCAAATTGCTTATCTCTGCTTACCCTAAGCCGAAAATACCGATCTTCGCACTCCATCAAGGCATTGACCTCATAAACCCCTACACCAAGTTTGAACATCCAAGCTTAATTAGAAGGAGCGTTATTGTGTTCCAAAGTCTCGGCCAATCAAATTGCTTATCGCTCTGCTTACCATGAGCAGAAAATGCTCATCATCGAACTTAGTCAAGATATTGATGTAATGAAACTATACACCAAGTTTCATCACTCTCACGTAAGTGGAACTAAAGTTATCGTGTCCCAAAGCATCAACCAATCAAATTGCTTATCTCTGCTTACCCTAAGCAGAAAATGCTTATCTTCACACTCCATCAAGACATTGACCTAATAAACACCTACACCAAGTTTGAACATTCTAGCTCAATTAGAAGGAGGGTTATTGTGTTCCAAAGTCTCGGCCAATCAAATTGCTTATCGCTCTGCTCACCCTGAGCAGATAATGCTCATCATCGAACTTAGTCAAGGTATTGATGTAATGAAACTATACACCAAGTTTCATCACTCTCACTTAATTGGAACTAAAGTTATCGTGTCCCAAAGCATCAACCAATCAAATTGCTTATCTTTGCTTACCCTAAGCAGAAAATGCTTATCTTCACACTCCATCAAGGCATTGACCTAATAAACACCTACACCAAGTTTGAACATTCTAGCTCAATTAGAAGGAGGGTTATTGTGTTCCAAAGTCTCGGCCAATCAAATTGCTTATCGCTCTGCTTACCCTGAGCAGAAAATGCTCATTATCGAACTTAGTCAAGGTATTGATGTAATGAAACTATACACCAAGTTTCATCTTTCTCACTTAATTAGAACTATAAGTTATCGTGTCCCAAAGCTTCAACCAATCAAATTGCTTATCTCTGCTTACCCTAAGCCGAAAATGCTCATCTTCGAACTCCATCAAGGCATTGACCTAATAAACACCTACACCAAGTTTGAATATTCTAGGTCAATTAGGAGGAGAGTTATTGTGTCCCAAAAAGTGTAACGGACGGACGGACGGACGGACGGACGGACCGACAGACAGACAGACAGACAGACCCATTTTAATAGTCCCCTGCTTTCTTCGAAAGGCGGGGGACAATTAAAAGATAGGCATGCATGCAAAGTGTAAAATTACACCACCCACACAGCAGCCAAGTCTCCACAGCATATTATTTGAAAGGAAAACTGGAATGTTAACAAAATTTGATTATGATTGTGCTTCTATCATTATTATATAGCACCACTTCCACAATACTGTGCTCCGGTGCGCTTTACAATATAGATATAAGTAAGGTTGCCACGTAAAATCCATTCAAAATACTAGAAAAATGGAGCAATAAAAATCAAATTTCAACAAATGCCGATAGATACGAACGTGATCGTTCCATTTTTGACAACAGAAGTCAGTTTTTTACACAATGGGTTGACTGTCCCTGACCGACACTAGATCGCCTCATGTTTCCAAGTAGACTATATTTCACTGAATAATAATTTAGTATTAATCAGAATTATAAACATGTAGGCTACGGCTTGATAATAGTCTAGTCACATATAGCCCCATAAAAAAGCATCCACAATATTTATAATGATAATGACTTATAATGATACACACTGTAACACTGGTATTGTTTAAACCATGGTTTTTAGCACTAGGAAGTATGCATAGTTCAATTTCAAAACATCGTTTGATAATTGATAAAAATCGTTTGAAAATTACAAAGATAGGTTGCCAGGCAAAGAAATATACGCCCACAGGAGACAACAAGAGTTGTCGCATAATTATAATCAACTAGAGTAACAACTATAAGTAATTATCCGAAAATCATTAGAAATGAAATAGAATGGGGTTTAACGTCTTACTGTTCTGCTCCTATACTGGACTAATACGGCACAGTGTGCTATGAGGGAAATCTTTCCCGGGCAGTGATACTATCGTCTACTCTTATATCGAATTCCAACTGCTATGGGATATTTTACGTGCATTCCAATATAAACACGGGACCTTGGTTTTTCGTATCATCCAAAGGACTAGATAGCTGTCCCTGTCAGGCCCTCCGTCCTGCATCATTGATAAGGGGGAACCACGTCGGAAAATCTGGATGAACTTTCTTGGCCAATGCAGGGATTGAACACCCGACCTCCAGGCTATCGAGCCAGCGTCTTACCCAATTAGCCACATGATCCCCGCGAAAATCATTAGAAATCAAGTTATCAAAATTCATTGAAAATCAATATACTTGTTCATATCAAGACCTTCAGCTCTGTTTATCAATCTAATGTCAATCAGATGATAACTTTGGTCTCTAGGCAAATGTACTAATCATGGCCGAATTGCAAAGTACAATTGCGCAGAAGATAGGTGCGCATCACGTGACTGCCTGTGTCTATTTATATATTATTATATCGTCTGTTCTATTTTATAATGCTATCAATGGATCGCCATTCTTCTTTTATACCTTTTTTATATTGTAACAGTTTGTCTATCCTATTCTATAGTAAGCTATTATAAAGGTGGCAGTGGTGCCAATGACAATCGTATAATTCATCACAAAATGGAATTATAAAATCCAAATTTATACGAAACAAACTTATTAGTGTTACTAGAAACAGATCTGACGGATATAATATAAAAAAAAGTAGGCCTATACGCACTTTGGACAAAAATATTTTTCGGGATCATTTAATAAGGAATTCAGTATTTTATATTTCAGAATTTTGATGTCATTACACATTAGTTTTTCTCAATTTGCCTCCTGCCAAATTAGTTATAACCCAGTGGTAGATCATTTATTTAATTTGGGAATATTTTCATCCAAAGACTGAAAATGTCCTTCCAATAATGAATATGCTTCCTCAACAATTAAAATCTTTTCCCCTGACTCTAGCTTTATTATCCCGTACCGAACGAAGTAAGGGAGAGATACTGAAATGGATTCCGTCTAGTCGTTCGGATGGGACGGAAAACCGAGGTCACGTGTACACATTGGCCTGCACGTAAAAGATCCCTTGGCAGTTGGAATTCGATATATAAGTAGGCTGTAGTGCCGCTGCCCGGGCAAAATTTCCCTCTTAGCACACTGTGTGGCGTATGCCCGTCATGGAAATTATCATTTTAGGCTGTCAATTTCTCAAATGTACGTTCTACTTGAGCTAGCAAGCTGAGAAATTGTCACAGCTACCTAGGAATACATGTAGGATGATTCTCTAAAAATTTCAGCTTCATATCTCCAATATTTCAAAACAAAGCATGGGTGATACATGAGAATATCCCGAAAAGGTATATAATTTCCAAAGAATGCAGAACTGAACACCACTGCTTATGAACCTCCTAAACATGGTAATTCCTTGAATTCAATACAGAGCATTACACACATGACACTTTGACACCCAAGAATTGAAGAAATGATATTTCTTTCTGCCTCTCTCTTTTTCTCTCTATCTGTCTCTCTTTCTCTCTCTCCATCTGTCTGCCTGTCTGTCTTTCTTTCTTTCTGTCTATGTCTCTCTCCCTCTCTCTCTGCCTCAGTGTGTCTGTCTGTCCCTCTCTGTGTCTGTATCTCTCTGTCTGCCTGTCTCTCTCCTCTTTCTGTATCTGTCTGTCTCTCTATGCCTCTTTCTCTTTCCCTTTCTCTCCCCTCCCCCTCTCCCTGTCAGTCTCTCTCTATCTTTCTCTCCCTCTGTCTCTTCTCTCTACATCTTTCTCTATCTCTCACTCTCTGCCTCTATCTTTCTTTCTATCTGTCTGTCTCTCCCTCTGTCTCTCTCTCCCTCTCTTCCTTTCTCTCTCTCCACCTATCTCTATCTGTATGTCTCTCTCTCTCTTCTCTCTTTTGGCCTCCTCTCTCTCCCTCCTCTTTCTGTCTGTCTCTCTCTCTCCCTCCCTTTCTCCTCTGTCCCTCTCCCTCTGTCTGCCTCCCTGCCTCCCTGCCCCCCTCTCTCTTTGTCTGTTTCTCTCTCTGTCTCTCTCTTCCTTTTCCTCTTTCCCTCTCCCTCTGTCTGCCTCTTTCTGTCTGTCTGTCTGCCTCTTTCTGTCTGTCTCTCTCCCTGTATGTCTCTGCCTCTTCCCTCTCTCTCCCTCCTGTCTGTTTATCTCTCTCCCTCTCCCTCCCCCCTCTCTCGATCACTTTATCTGTATGTCTCACCCTCACTGCCTCTTTTCTTGCCCTCACTGCCTCTTATCTCTCTTGGTCCCTTCTCTCTCTTCATCCTCCCGTTTATGTCTCTCTCTCTCTTTCTCCTGTCTCTCCCTCTTCCCCTGTCTCTTCTCTCTATCTCTCTTCCCCTATCTCTCTGTCTGTCTCTTCTCCCCCTCCCTCTTTCTGTCTTTCTCTCTCTCCCTCCCCCTGCCTGTCTCTATCCCTCTCTCTGCCTCTTCCCTCTCTCTCTTCTTTCTCTGTCTATCTCTCTATCTGTCTTTTCTCTCTCTCCCCTCCCTCTTTCTGTCTTTCTCTCTCTCTCTCCCTCTTTCTGTGTCTCCCTAACCACCCTGCTGCCTGTTTCTATCACCTCTCTGCCTCTTCCCTCTCTCCCTT